CCCACGGTTTCCCCAAACCCCTACCATGAGAGAGTTTCCTTCTGTAAAATTCACAGCATAGGGGAGCAGATAAGAATGTTTGCTTTCTGTAGGCAGAAGAATGCCAGAGAGAGAGAGAGAGAGAGAGAGAGGAGCTGCTGGCCATAGGCACCTGAATCCTCCTCCTAAACTTACCTGTGAAGTCCCTTTCTACCCTGAAAGCAGGGACTGGTGAGGGGTAAGCACATTCCTGAAGTGATACTCCAGACAAGTTCTCTCCCTCCTCACCATGGGGAGTGTGGGAAGTGCTCCCCTTTAGCTGATGGGCAAAGACTCATCTCACAGACTCGATCATGGTGGAGGCAGAATGGCTCTGAGGACAGGATGAGGAATTAGCATCCCATGAAGCATTTCTTCCCTAAGCAGATATAAAATTTTATTTTATTATTATTATTTTTTTGTGTACACATTTAGTTTTATTGTAACAAAGCAACTTGTACACTTTTAACGTTTAAAACTGAGCATCTTTCCTTTCCAGTGAAACAAAAAGAAAATTTAGAAATAAACAGGAACAAAATTACAATAGAGAATGTCAATTCCAAATAAAATCCTGCAGGTTCTGCTGATTCTCCCATCGAGTGACAGGGCTCAAGTCATCATTAGGAGAGTTTTATTTTAAAAGTGTCATCTTGGGATCCCTGGGTGGCGCAGTGGTTTGGCGCCTGCCTTTGGCCCGGGGCGCGATCCTGGAGACCCGGGATCGAGTCCCATGTCGGGCTCCCGGTGCATGGAGCCTGCTTCTCCCTCTGCCTGTGTCTCTGCCTCTCTCTCTCTGTGCGACTATCATAAAAAAAAAAAAGTGTCATCTTAAACTGCAAGGATGTCCGTTAAACATCACAATTAAATATGCCAAAGGAGAAGCCATGTTGTCAAAATGCTTACTTAACCCACCCAAACATCTCAAACCCACCCTTTCCTGACCTTCTACAATCTCTGAGCCCAATATACAGAGAAAGGAGGGAAAAAGCTAGAATTCTATGTACTGCTACACAGGGGCCTAGCACCCTCCAGCTTCCAGCAGAGCTAAGGGAGCAGGTTTTTCTTTTTTCCCACAGAGCACGGTGGTGTTGATTCCATAAAATTTTTGTTGAGACAGGAAGGGATAAAAATGAATTTGGAACAGAAAGGGGTAGAGATTCTTTTCCCGCTGTATTCTGCTCAAGGTATTTACCCGCAAAATAAGTTGAGAACCATGGTATAAAGGGAGAGAAAAGAGACTTCAAAAAACAGGGCAAATGAGCACAGAAGAAGGGGGTAAAAAAAAAAAGAGATGCAACTTGCTCCCAGGGACTAGAGAAAATTAAAAAAGGAAGGTTGGAATTCATCCGTGTTCCACTAGTCATCTTCTCCTTCATCCTCCTCTCCTCCCCCCATCATCATCTTCATCTTCTTCACCTTCTCCTCATGTCCTTTATCAATATCTTCCAATCCTCCTCCCTCCTCCTCCTCTTTCTCCTCCTCCTCTTCTTCTTCTTCTTCTTCTTCTTCTTCTTCTTCTTCTTCTTCTTTTCTTCTTTCTTCTTTCTTCTTCTCTTTCCCCTTCTTCATTATCCACATCGGGAACCAAGTAGTACTGTAATGGATTTGGCCAAATATCATCTTTGATGACCTCTCCTACCTCATCTGCACCTGCATCAGAAGGGTCAGTAAATCAGGTGAAGAAGCTCTCTGGTTCCTCATACTGTCTCTTCCTGCTGGCTTTATTCTGCATTTGACTTGAACATTTCGTCAGATCCTTTCCAGATTTCCATTTGATTTCAGTGGACTTTGAAGATGGATCACCACCTCTCATTCAGATGAAATTCTTTGGAGAGAACTTTATTTTCAAAGTAAGGGTTTTCATCAAAATAAAAATCTATTCTGTAACCTGATTTAATATCTTCAAATTCTGTCACTTCAACTCTTGTCAAATAGAGCAGTGCCTCTTCATCCTCCTCCCCAAGCAGTGCAGACACTTGTGGATGGTTGACAAATATTGTTGCCCCAAAATTGGGGATTTTGGTAATCAATTCCGACCTCTTCTGAAAAAATGGTTGGCAGAGTTTGTTATATGTCTGTCCTACTTTCAAAATCTCCTCACTGGCTTGTTCATTAAGTCTATTTCATTTTGTACTTCATCAATATGTTCAACTGTTTCTTACCGTTCTTTTTCTCCCTTCAGCAAGTGCTGAGAGGTTGATGTCTCCTCCAGCTTGGGGGCAGGAGGCAGCCTCGGTTTTTTGGGTTGCTTTGTTTGAGGCGTCAATAAGGACTGGAGTTTAGAGGCCATTCTGTGAGGAAACTCCACGAAACCAGGAGAGAGAGAGGCACATCTGGAAGAAGCTCCAATTACTAGATATAAAATTTTAAAAGGAAAAATAGGCTAATTTTGTCACTGTCCAAGCTGGCAAATATGTGGTCTTTCCTGGGTGTAAGAATGTGGACTAGGTCAGTGGTTCCCAACTCTGACCGTGCATCAACCATGGAGAAGAGATTAATCATAAACCCTTATTTCTGGTACCCAACAAGAGTTTCTGAAAGTGGAGTCCAGGGTTCTGCACATTTATGGGTATTTTCTGAGTGATTTGCTTATGGGAAGCATTTGGAACCATTGACCTAGTTTTTGGAGATTAATTTATACAGAATTCACTTTAAAATGAATGCCTCTAATATTCCTGAGTTTGTCCTATACATTTCCATCTGTGAATTTCATGATAATCATAAATTCAATGTGGTTAGTGTCTCTTTCGTACCTAGGTCTACACAAGGAGATGTGAGAGGGTGATTTTATACTGAAAACCACATACAGGCTAGAATGATTTCATCAACAGAGACAGGTCATGCTGTTTTTCTCTGAAGTGGCTATACCGTTTATTAAAAAGTCCATTTGTGCTCCAGTGATCTGAGATACCTCCTTTCTCTTATACTAAATTCCCACATGTCCTGGGTCTGTTCTTGGGCTTTCTATCCTAACCACTGGCTTAGAGGTTTCTGTATACAAACTGTTTTAATTACAGAGACTGAAATAGTATGTTTAAGTGCCTTATGAGACTAGTCCCTTCTTTGCAGTTTTTGTTTGTTCGGTGTTTTCCTGGCTATTTTTCCGTGTTTGCTTTTGCACAGGAACTTTAGTATCAATTTGTGTAACTTCATTAGAAGTTGTTGATATTTTTATTAGCATTGCATTAAATTTATTATATAATATTCACTTTGGAAAAACTGATGGTAAGTCATTCTGGGCTGGAAATGGGGATGTCTTCCCATTTCTTCGGGTTTACTTTTGGCTCTTTCAGTGTGTGATTTTTCTCCCTTATTGGAGCTTGACTCAGTGCTTGAAGTACAAAATGGATTTATTTTCCTCTATCTTTCCAGACCCTCAAGGTGTACAGTGGACAATCTAAGCTAGATATGGAGCCCATTCCTTTTTTTTTAAAGATTTTATTTATTTATTCATGAGAGACAGAGGCAGAGATATAGGCAGAGGGAGAAGCAGGCTTCCCTGTGGGGAGCCCGATGTGGGACTCAATCCCAGGACCCCGGGATCACAACCTGAGCCAAAGGCAGAAGCTCAACAACTGAGCCACCCAGGTTCACCCCCTTCTTTTATAAATATATTTTTTAAATTTTTATTTATTTATGATAGTCACACACACAGAGAGAGAGAGAGAAAGAGGCAGAGACATAGGCAGAGGGAGAAGCAGGCTCCATGCACCGGGAGCCCGACGTGGGATTCGATCCCGGGTCTCCAGGATCGAGCCCTGGGCCAAAGGCAGGCGCTAAACCGCTACGCCACCCAGGGATCCCCCCCTTCTTTTACATAAAGGATCACCTTACAAATTAATCATTATACTCCTCTTGATAATCCATGATATTGAGTTTCTAGGAGCTTCACAATTATTTTTTTTTTTAATTTTTATGAGCCTCACAATTAGAAGAAACAAGTAGATTAGGAAAACTTCCCTTGGGACTATAATGTCAGGTTGGATCATTTGAACTTAATGTTTTTTTGTAGGTCAAAAATTGTTAAAGGGTGCCTGAGTGGCTCATTCAGATAAGCTGAACCCTTGATTTCAGCTCAGGTCATGATCTCAGGGTCATGAGATGGTATCCTGTGTTGGGCTTGGTGCTCAAGCAGGGAGTCAGCTTGGAATTCTTTCTCTCCCTCTACCCCCCCCCCCCGCTCCCTGTCTGTCTCTAAAATAAATAAACAAACAAATAAATAAATACATCTTTTAAAAAATGGTCAGATATCTCTAATTTCATATGATTCAACCTCAACATGTGGTTCAATCATTTAGGGGTCTCTGCTCAATGGTATGGGTCACATACCCAAGTCCAGGCTTCCTATAGAGTGTAGATGCCTTTGTAAAGGTGTTACTTCTGGGTAGCCCAGGTGGCTCAGTGGTTTAGCGCCGCCTTTGGCCCAGGACATGATCCTGGAGTCCCGGGATTGAGTCCCACATCGGGCTCCCTGCATGGAGCCTGCTTCTCCCTCTGCCTGTGTCTCTGCCTCTCTCTCTCTCTCTCTCCCCCTCTGTGTGTGTGTGTGTCTCTCATGAATAAATAAATAAAATATTTTTAAAAAGGTGTTACTTCTCTCCATCCACAAAATTAGAGGTAGCTGATTAAAATCCTTATGTTTATATGGAAAAAAGCAAATGTTTTCGTTATTCAGCTATCTTCTTTGGAATTTCATTTCTATTGACATTTTAAAATAGGCCCACAAATTCTTTGCTACCTCTCCTTTTGAAAAGTGGAGCTTAATGCCCCTCTCCTTGAGTGTGGGCTGGACTTACTGACTTGCTGCTTCTAATGAATAGAATATGAGAGAGGTGATGGTGTGCTACTTCATAGATTAGGTCATAAAAGACATTGTGGTTTCTGCCCAGCTATCTCTTATATTGCTCACTTTGGGGTAAGTCGGTTGCCATATCGTGAGAACATTCCAGCAGTATCCACTCACTTAACGAGAGGCCCTTGTGATGAGGAACTGGGCCCTCCTGTCTACAGCCAATGGAGAGGTGAGGCCTTCTGGCAACAGCTGTGTGAGTGAGCCATCTTGGAAGCGGACCCTTTGGTGCTAGTCAGCCTTCAAATGACTGCAGTCTTGGCCAACAAATTAGGCTTAGCTGGGTGGTTCTGGCTCAGAATCTCTCATGAGGTTGCAGTCAAGAATCTTCAAGACTCTTCTCTCACTCAAGACCTCGCTATTAGTCTCCTATCTGGTGAGAGGTGCTATGCCAGGAGTAGAGAGCTGAATGAGACACTTGTGTCCTTCAAGAGCTCACTGTTAATAGGAAGTCAGTGTCATCAGTAATTCTTAGCTATAAATATGCTAAAATGGAAGATACTTAAAAGCGTTTCAGATTGTATTTGCATGGAGCTTTGGTAGACAAAAGAGAGGCTAGTCTGTTTACTGACTTTTTGAGGAGAGAGAGTGAATTAAGAAGAGACCCTCCGCCCCCCGCCGCAGGCAATAGTCAAGTTCACATCACACAAGAAGAGAAAGCTGACCAGGCCCCTCTTCAGAGGCCAGGAGCTGCTCTGAAGCTATTCTGCTGGACCAGGAAATCCAGACTACACAAATCTTCTTTAGCAGCAGTGACTATTCCCCAAAAAAATTAGTGGTAAAAAGGGCTGGGTAGGAAGATGGCTGAGGAAATGAATTTTTTTTTTTGAGAAGTGAAGTGTTGTATTAATGTGTGCACAGGTGTGCAGCAAGTTCCAGCTATTATTGATTTAGCTCCACTGAAGGGAATCTAGTTCTTAGTTAACAGTACAGCATTAATTAATAGCAAATTAATATCAAAGTCTCATTTCAATGCCAGTTTCCTAAGAGGAAAAGAGAGAGAAATTATGATGTAATTTTTCAACTTTTCCTTGAACACAAAGCCAAAATTTCTTGGCACTGGGGTCATTTAACACAGTATTACCAGGCCCAGGATGTGACCGGTTGGCACTTGAATTGAGTCTGGATGTGGCGATTCGCTTGTCCTTGCTCCTGTAATAGGCTGCTACTTCCCTCATAGTTAATGATTTTCTATAGTTGAAATGAAGTTTGGAAACTGACTATATTTGGCAAAACTTGGTAACTGTGCTTATTTTGTCCTGCAGAAAAAAAATCCGACAAGTGATCAAAATCACAACCCATATTGATGATTAATTGTAGACAGTGGCTCCTAATTCTGGTTTTGTTTTTGTGGTTACAGTGGCAAGGAGAGAAAAATTTGTGTTCAAGTGATGAGTCTATCTTTTTCACACCTGTATGAAAGAGCAAGGCCAATGTAACCCCTTAGTGGACTAACTCTATATTGTCCAGAGTTTTCTGTGTATCTGTGATTGTTAATCTCTTGACTCTGATTTGACAAGCTGGCATTTTCAAAATCAGGTAATTAAGACTCATGTTAAGTTGCAAGTTTTCTCTGACAAGGTCTCAGATACAAGTGAATCAAAGACAGCCAGTGGCAGAGTTAGGATGCTAATATTTCTGATTTTCAATCCTGCCTGTTTCTACTAGACCATTCTGCAGCCCCTCTCCCAATAAATGTATATTTCAGTTTAGTTCACTCTTCTGTCTTGCCCTTGCCATTTAAGAAAACATTTTTATAGTACTTTGTGGTTTATAAGTAGTTTCTATGAATGTTATGCTGGTTGTGAGGTAGGTCTTATTACTTCTTTTTTTTCTTTTTTTAAAAGATATTTATTTATTTATTTATTTATTTATTTATTTATTTATTTATTCATGAGAGACACAGAAAGAGAGGCAGAGACATAGGCAGAGGGAGAAGCAGGCTCCCTGTGGGGAGCCCAATGTGGGACTTGATCCCAGGACCCTGGGATCACATCCTGAGCCAAAGGCAGACAGTCAACCACTGGGTCACCCAGCTGCCTCAGGTCTTACTATTTCTGTCTTATGCCGGTGGTATGGGGGTCAGAGAGGCTCAGCAATTGACTGAAAGATTCTCTCGAGGTCCTCTCAGATGGTGGTCCCTGACCAGTAGCATCAGTGTCACTTGGGAGGTGGGGGGTGGGGGTTAGGAGTCTTGAGAAATGCACATTCTCAGGCCTCCTTAAACCTACTGAATCAGAAACTCTAGGGTGGGGCCCAGTGGTCTGTCTTTTAAGGCCTCCTGGTGATTTGGATGCACATCAAGTGTGAGAAGCATAGCCTCACCCTATGGATGGGTCACCCAGGAATTTGTTAGATTGAAAAAATAATAACAAAACATTGATGTACATTTTGACTTTTCTCCAAAGTCCTCCCTAACTGCTCACTTTGGTTCTACAGAAAGTTATTTTTTTAAAAAGATTTTATGTATTTCTTTATTTGAGAGAGAGAGAGGGAGAGAGAGAGTGAGTAGGGGAGGAACAGAGAGAGAGGAACAAGCAGACTTTGCATTGAGCATGGATCCTGCTGTAGGGCTCGAACCCACAACCCCAAGATCATTACCTGAGCAGAAATCAAGACTTGGCTGCTTACCTGGCCGAGCCACCCAGGCATCCCTAGAGGAAGTTATTTTTATCATAAAAATAGAACTAATCAGGGGCACCTGGCTGGCTCTGTCATTAGAGCCTGTGACTCTAGATCTTGGGTTTGTAAATTTGAGCCCCATGTTGAGTAGAGATTACTTAAAAAAAATAACGCTAATTACAGGCCAATGGTTAATTTTAGATGAACATATTTTGTCTTTTGTCTTCTGTATATCACAATTCAGGGAGGAGGGATAAGGAACCCTCTCTCTTCAATGGGAATATAAATGAGCGGCTTACTACTGGTGATGAAGAAGGATTTCAAGAAGCAGTTAGGACAGGTAACGATATGTATAGTGTAAGTTAAATGAGACCCGGAAGTACAGATAACACCAGAATGCATCTGTGCCTTTCATGGTATTTTAACAGAGTAGATGTCAGCGCACCTTTAATTTATCCACAAAAGCATCCGATATCCTGTTAAAAAGATGAATTAAAGTATCTCTGGTAATTTGACCACCTTTTCAAAAAGATGCTGCTTTTAGTTGTTTCTACACAGCCAAGGTCATTCCTAACATGGGCATCATCTTCTGAGCCTCTGCCATTATTGCACTGAGGCTTCCTAACAAGCAGGAGGGATTAAATCCAAATATTGACCTCTGATCTTCAACCTTGGATGACCTGAGCCTGGGCCCATTCAGAACGAGTAGAAACTTGTCCATCATGGTACCAAGCGCAGTACACTCCTCCACGTGGCCTCTCGCTATCAAAAGTACAACTGGTTGTCACTTTCTAACTTGAAAAAAATAAATGCTGACTTATTCCAACAGAATAACAGCCCTTAGAGTTGCTTGGTGCTGCTGCCTCTCTCCGTAGCACAAATGAAAGTGGCAAATTGGACGTTTCCAGTTTTCTCCCCATAGCCCAAGATGGCCCTTGGCCAGCATCCCCCTGCCTGTATTGCTAGGCACCCCTCAGTGGTTTTCCACACCAAACCATCCAGTTCCTGTCATGGAATGTTTGTGCTCCATTGCCCTGATTCCTCCTTTTGTCACATTACAAATGGAGTGATAGAAGCTCTAGGATTCCTTGATGTCAGCTGGGGTCTCTAGTTAATGCTACCAAGCCCACACTTGGTGGCATTCCCAACCTACCCTCAAGATTTCTGCAAGTCCCTACAGTCCGTAAGAGCTCAAGATCGTCTGGCAGAGTGTTTACACTTGTGCGTGAAATTCCCCCAAACCTATGCACTTGAGGCTGATTATATATATGGTGGGAACCTGAAGCTGGGATAGTGGGGTGATGGGGGGAAGCTTCATACTGAATATTTGACTCCATTGTTTTCAGTAGCCATTGCAGAACTTTCTACTTCCTCGGGGGCCCCTGCCTTCTCCTTCCATCTGACCTCTCCTCTGTTCTTCTCCTCCTGCAAACTGTACCTTGTTGTCCCTTCTTGGGGAAGAAGCTTGGCTGCTTGCTGGCTCATATCCTCAGCATCTCACCTCCACCACCAAACAGCATCTGATGTCACTGCCAGACAATATATGAATGTATTATCTTAAGGCCAGTTTCTTCTTCAAGAGGACTTCTGAAGTCAGCAACTAAAATTACTAAGGTTTTCAGATCTGCTGGAAGCCGAGCTAATAGGATGTCCTTGCAGATCTGTCAAGGGCTGTCTCTTTCTGTTTACTTTGCCATGTGTCTTTTCATCTAGATACTCAAGATAAAAATGTGCCATGTACGCAGCTTCTGCACTTTCTCCAGAGGAACATCATCCTTGCCGCTGCCTCGGTGGCGGGAATCCTCGTGGTCACAACGTTGTTCCTGCTGGCATTGACCACGTGCATCAGGAGGAAACGGCCATTGTGAGTGGCTCTTAGCTCCCATTTGCTTCGAAGAATTCATGGGTATTTGTGACAATGGAGCCCCAGAGCTTCTTGCTAATCCTGGAGTTAGGAGGAAGGCAGGGACATCTAAGCTTGGTTGTGTAGTCATAAAGTACAATGGCCCAGGCTATGAATTTTTAAGCATTGTCTTGGTGGTTTTTTTTTTTTAAGATTTTTTTATTCATTTATGACAGAGACAGAGAGAGAGGCAGAGACACAGGCAGAGGGAGAAGCAGGCTCCATGCAGGGAGCCCGATGTGGGACTTGATCCCGGGTTTCCAGGATCACATCCCAGGCCGAAGGTGGCGCTAAACCACTGGGGTTGCCCTGCCTTGGTGGTTTTGATGCGTAGCTGGGTATGGCTTGGACCCTGCTTGGCTCTAAAGACCTTAGGTTAGGCTATACCTATTTCCACACTGAGGGCCACTAAATGAGGAGATGGTACAGCCTCTGGCTGAAAGATTGGAAAATAAAAATATGAGGGCAGGGTGGGATGAGGCTGTGGAGGAGACCAGCTCAGGGCTATTTGGCCTGTTCACAATGGGTCAGCAGTATTGGTTGTTAGAATATTGAAAGATCCCTCCACTGGTCCTTCCCAGGACCTCCCACAGACTTCCCAGTCTTCCCCAGGATCCTGCAAATGAAGGGTTAATGCCTGGCCCAGCAATGGCCCTCCAGGGCTCTGTTCTGACAGTAGCTACTTTATTTGACTACTGTCTGTCTGTAGCACTTATTAAATATATCAATTATCCACCCCCCTCCCCCCGCCATGAGAGGGCTCTGGCACAGTGGCCACAACCATGGGTAGGCACTAGAAAGTAAATGGCTTACAAGATTAAGCATTTGCAGTAATAGCACCTTGAAATTATGTGCCTCCATCTGTATCTCTTGAGACACACTGCTTAATCACAGGGAAAAGCAGCTTCCGAAGGCCCCTCGGGTCCTCCCTAATACCGCATTGTGTGTTTGTCCTGTCCACAGGGAAAGGCGGCTGTGGTGTGGCATGGGAGGGTGAAGTGTCCCACCCCACCCAGTTTGGAGATAACAGTACTTAAATCTGCCCACAAGAGTGATGGAAGATTTAAAGAGCTTCTGGAAATAAGCTTGACCCACTTCACAGTTCTTACTGGGGCTTATCTAATCAGATTTGTCACTTCCCTTCTGTGCCTCTTGGAGGTATCAGAAGTGGTCAAGACTGTGCTTCCGTCCCACAGAGGCAATCTGTGGAGAGCCTGTGTTATCAGAAAGTAGAGGAAAGGAGTTTCCCAGAGGCTTTCTGGTGCCCAGAGGCAAAAGAAATTTCACACATGACAGACCTCCCTGATGGGAAGTAGAATGCTCACCCCTCAGAAACAGCCCCCTATATCACCAGCCAATGAGTAGACAGTAGGAATTCCTGTCCAAAAATATGGACAGAAAACCAAAAAAATATGGTTTTGTGTCTTTTATTTTAGACATCCTCCAGCAAACACGACGTATAATGTTTTTATTATGAGTGGGAAGTCTTGGTGGCAAAAGTATCAAGAAAAGAATCTCAGAAAACACAGCGATAAACAGAAACAGTTGTTGAAGAGCAAGTCCCTTATCTAAGCCAGGTGGTGTGGCCAGGCAACGCAGGACTGGAAGCTGTGGTGCCAAGCAATTCTCCATCCAGACACTGTGGAGAGGCATTTGGATTTCTGGCTGTGAGGTGTGCTCTACAAAATGTTTACCTTCTCAGTGCGATCTTGAATGGACCAAGCAACAAACGTTTTACCGCAGGATGCTTGTAGTGTGGTGCGGCACTCATGGCTAGTGCAGGAGACTCAGCACATTTGCAGGAGGACAAACCTGACCAACTCTGGGTTGACTGATTTATTAAAGCATCAATTCTCTGATTCAGCCATTCAGAGAGCAGGTATTAATTGAGCACCTGATATGTAGACAATCTCAAAATACATGAGGCAACCAAAGATGCTGGAAGCAGGCCTGGCCCTGGCAGGTTTCCAGGAGAGGGCAGACAGCTGGCTGAAACTCTGTGGTGGTGGACTGAGGCCTCTAAGCTCAATGGCAGGAAGGGTCGGGAGAGGAGAAGGGTGGGGGACGCCTGGTGTTTCAGGAGCACGGAGAGGCTGCCAGTGTAGCTCAGCAGCCCGGGGCCCTGCACTGGAAGGCGGTGTCAGCAGAGAGGGAGCCCTCTCTGCAGGGGCGGGGACGCAGGGGCCTGCCCCAGGGCTGGGCAGGGGCGCCTGGGTTCTGCAGCCTCCCCTTGGTCTGCGCCCCAAGCGGCTGCACACCCTCTGCGGCCCCCGGGGGGACTGCGATGGGGGGAGGCCACAGGGAGAGGACCCCCATGACAGTCGGGGAGCGGGAGGGCCGTGGCCTCCGCAGAGGGTCCGGGTCCAGGCGAGCGAGGGCATGGGCCTTGCCTGGCTGGAAGGCATCGGGGTGGGGGGTTCGCCTGGGTGTGAACCGGGCTCTAGGGAGGCAGGTGCCTCAGGAGGCGGGTCAGGGGGTGCACATCAGAGGGACCTGCGGGGCCCGAGGGCAGCTGGAGGAGACGGAGAACTGGGGGAGGACCTGGGTGCGTTGGGGAGCATTAGAGGCAGGAGGCACAGCGGGTGCTCACTCTTGCGCACGCAGAAGACCGGGCTCCCGGGTGCTGCTGGCCAGGCACCGGTGGCTCTTGTTCAGACACTTAAGAGTTTCCCCGGGTGCAGGCTGAGCCTGCCCTTCCCTCCACTGGAGAAGGTTCTTTACAGAAGCTTCTTTAAATCTTTGCTGTGGCCTCGGAGCTCCTTTCCTGGCTGGTGCGCCACAGTAAGTCTCCTGGGGTACCTGCAGTCTGGGACCCATCCTGCACGTTAATAAGCTGCACTTGCTGAGAACCTATTGCGAATGTAAATTCCTTGAGGCATGATTGTCATCTTATCTCAAGAGAAGGAAGCTTAGAGACCTAAGCTCACCTGTTAGAGGTCACATAGCTAAGAGGGCAGCCTGGATTCTAATCCAGCCCCAGGGATCCGCTGGAGTAGCCCAGCCCCTGTCACCCTTCAGACCTGCTGAGGAGGAATTAGTAGGGAGGACTTCTAGTCTCCTTTTTTTGGGAGGTGGAGTGAGTGAAGCTGTCCCCAGGGATAGAGGGGTTCTGGAAAAGCAGGCCTGATGGGTGGCTTACATCAAGGACTCCCTTCGGGTTTTCCCAGTCATATGGTTTTTATCATCTGCTCTCCCAAAGTGGGGAAGCCCTCAAAGCTTTAAGCCATGGGGAATTGGAGGACAAGTCAAGGCCAGGCTGGAATGGGGCATTCCTCTGTATGTGAAAAATCTCTCCTCAGTGAAAAATCAGCCCACTTTCTTGTTTGAATCCAACTGCGGCTGGCTCAGGCCTTGGCCTGGGTGATGGACCAGCACCAGGGAGTCACTGTGACTCTTTGGGTCCAGGTTAATGCCCCTGACAAGCCCTGCTGGCTTCAGCTCTTGGCAAACTCTGTGGACCCCCTAAGTATACAGCTGACTCCAGTTCTAAGGGACTTCCCTTTGAGAAGTGGGATCCTCTGTCCTCTTTTTAAGCCACCCCCCCCCCGCCAGACAACATGTTCTTCTCTCTTTGAACCAAATCCTTTCAAGTCTGAGAACTTGATGTTGAATCAATGGCTGTAGACAAAGACAGACAGTGAGAGATACCTGCTCATGGCAGGTTTACTGGGCTTTCCTGGGGGCAGCTGATGGGGCAGTCTGAGGGCAGAGGTAGCTCAGATGCCTAAAGGTGTCTGGTGGTCCTACATAAGCAAAGAGTCCTAGAGCTCTGGAAGCCCTGGGCCTGTCTTGTGCTGGTCTGAACCATCTTTCTAAGCCCCCAACAGTGTCACCACTGAGCAGGAAGGAGGGACAGAGGGACTTCTCAACTCCAGGGATGTCCCATGCTTGGCCCCTTGGGATGCTGGGCCCAGTGGTCTCCAGTATCGGTCCCACCTTGACCTTCTCTGAGCCTCAATGTTCTCATTTTTGCCATGGGGGTAGGAATTTACCTCTTTCATAGGGCTGTAGGTGGTTCATTCGGCAAGAACTATTTATTGAGCACCTGCTGTATGCCAGGCACTGTGCTGGGCTGGAGGCATCGAGGAAGTAGAAAAGGAATTAGATAAGCCTTCCTGGCAGTGAATAGCTGGTGTCCCTTCAACTTGGAAGGAGGTAAGGCTGTCAGGGCTTAGGTATACAGCAGGCACACCGTAAATACCAGACTCTTCCTTGAGCAGCTGATAGGTTGCACTCCCACTCTCATCCCATCCTCATCCCATCCTCATCCCTACCTCTTGGGACCCTAGAACCAAGAGGCAGCCCACCCTCCTGTTGGCCTCCCACCCCACCCCTACCAGGCTCCCATTTGAGGAACAAGTTCAGGTCCGTGTTCTGCACAAAAGATTCACAGCAATTGTGTTTTAGTTTCGAAAAGGCAAAAAAAAAAAACTTTATTATTATAGAAACCTAATAGAAACAGAAGAGGAAAGGAATCTATACACAGATGAAGGTAACAGTAGGCAAGAAATGAAAATAAGGCAGGGATGCCTGGGTGGCTCAGTGGTTGAGCACCTGCCTTCGGCTCAGGGCATGATCCTGGGTTCCCAGGATTGAGTTCCACATCAGGCCTCTTGTGGGGAGCCTGCTTCTCCCTCTGCCTCTCTCTCTCTCTCTCTGTGTGTGTCTCATGAATAAATAAATAAAATCTCTTAAAAAAAAAAGAATAAGGCAAAGTTACACCAGATCAGGTCCTTACAATATCCAGACTCAGCTGGGGAAGCCCCATGGAAACAGCCAGGCTGAGCCCCGATTGAGAGGCCTGGACAGAGTGTCCTCTCTCAGGTGAGACTTCCAGCTGACCATCCCCATAAGGGCCGTACTTATAGGGCAGATAACAGAATTTGGAATTAAACATTTGTTCACCTCCGTGCAGTTTGGAGCGAGCTGCATTTCCATGGTATCATGTTTCTATATTTTCAAGGAGCCCAGGCTATGTGTGTCTGCCTCAGCCCAGCCTGGAGCAGGAGGGGATGTGACACAAGATTTGTAGCTCTTGGCATCCAGAACAGAAGGGCCAGTTCTGACCTGGAGGCCAGATGATATATTTTAAACAGGCTCCCAAGATTATTCACAAAGCACGAGTCTCACAAACAACATTCTTTGGACTGCCTGTGTATATGCGGGCCTAGGTGGTGGGTTATGTGGGACAAATCATAAAAACATTGATCTATACAGAACAGTTAGACACCTGTAACCTCTGGGTTAGTGGATCCATTGCCTATGGATGGGCTCACTGAGAGCCTCCCCTTTCATTTCCCTCTTCCTCTAGAGTTGTCTTCCTGTCTTCTTAGTCAGCTGTCCTGCTGTGGGGCCTTTCACCTTCAGCTCCATGGTTTGTCTAGCCAACCTGGCCCTGGCTGGGTGAGGGGAGGGTGCCAGACAGCACAGAGGACTTTGGGGTCAAGCCCTGTGGAGGCTCTGGGCTCCCAGCCTCTGCTACTTACTTGCTGTGGAATCTCAAGCCTCAGCTTCCTCTTGGCCTCAATTTCGCTACCTGTAAAATGGGGCTAACCTACTTTGTGGGGTTGCTGTGAGCATTGCACCTTCGCTGGGGCCAACACATAGTAGTGCTCAATATAAAGGAATAAATAAATCTTAGCTATTATGATTATTCTGCAAAACTTTGGCAGTTTGCCTGCCCAGCATCCTTTCTCCCTCCTTCCAACGGTAGTTTCTGACTTCCCTTGGGTTCTCCTCCTCCATTTCAATGTGGTGTGCATGAGGCATGTGACCTAGTCCTAAGCCACTCTCACATGGCATCCAGGGGCTTCAGGGACTAGCTGGGGGATGGATGTGTGATCTACTCAGCCGATGAGCTATGTTAGAGTTTTTGCTGGAAAAATTGAGACATAGATTCTTTTTCTCCTCCCCTTCCTTTTTTTTTTCAATAATTGGTAGCCAGATATATATATTTCAACATTTTCCAAATATAAAATATTTCAGTGAATCATATCCCATTCTTAAAGTTTTAAAGATCTCATAGATTTTATTCAATATTCTTGTTTCTTGAGCAATATTTGAAGCTGAGTCACTATCTTGACCACAGAAAGAAAAGTTGCTGAAAATGAAGTCATCAGGTGGAGGAGGTAACAACCCTTGCACCATCATTTGAGCACTGAGCAAGCTTTTCCTAAAGGCTATCCCTGTGATTTCATCCATCCATGCCATACTTACACCACAATTATGTGCTAAGTGCCCCTCCAGTTGCTGGGGACACAGCCAGGAACAAGACAATCCCCACCTCAGAGAGGTCACAGTCCTGCCCCAGGACCTTTTCACTTGCTGTTCCCTCTCCCCAGAATGCTTTACCCCTGATATCTCCATGGCTCCCTCCTTTACCTCCTTCAAGTCTTAATGCACAGGTTAGCCCCTCAGTGAGGCCTGTCCTGACCTCTTCTACCCTCTCCTGATTTATTTTACTCATTAGCACTTGAAACCATCTGCTATACTTGGTAGAATACCTAATTGTTTTTCTGTCTCCCCCCATAGAATGTCACCTCCACGAGGGAAGGGATTTTCATCTGTGTTGTTCACGGCAGATCTAGAGTATCCAGAACAGAGTGGCATAGCGTGGGTGCTCAGTGTTGAATAAATAGGACACCCGAAAGGATTATTTGAAGAGGTAACACTGTCATTCTGTTTGAATGCTTACGAAGGAGCCAGCCACTTCATGATCCCCAGGGAAGGGCATAGTGTATGGCTGGGGTGGCAAATCAATTCTCTTTTTACTCAAACCATGCTGGATTTTTTTTTTTTTCATGCTGGATTATTTTTAAGGGAGGGTATCACTTTCAACCTTTAGGATCCCAAGATGTGCTTAGTAGGATATAGTACTCAAGAGCTGCCTCTGGAGGGCGCAAGGGAATCCCGTTGCTGCGCTTGGACTTGCATGCACTCACTAGCACGCTCTAGAAAATCGGGAAACTTGGTAGATGGTGATGATGGTGGCAATAATGGAGTGTTCGGTTTGAGGCCTGTTTTAATTTTCACAATAGCCCTACGAGGTAGGTACCATTTTTATCCCCGTTTCCTACATGACAAAATGGAGGCTCAGGTAGCTTGCTCGAGGCCCCTGAGGTATAAGCAGCAGAACCAGAAAGAACCAGGAGATAAAAGTCACCATGGCTTGGTCACCCAGGTGATTCCCTGGGTGGGAGGAGATTCAGGAGGGATTCTATGGGGCGGGGTGTCCTCTGTTTTGGGATCATTGTGCTGAGGTGTGATATTCTTCTGTGGCAGGCTGAGTCGTCGTCGTGTCGTGTCGTCGTGTCGTCCCCTCCCCCCCCCCCCCCCCCCCCCCCCCCCCCCCCCCCCCGCTCCAAGTCCCATTCAAATGCCAGAGGTTTCCCTAGCAGTGATCTGGTGACGCCTGCTTGAAAGTCAGGTGAAACTGACACAGCCCCCCACCCCTGCGCTGCTCAATTTGAGGACTGGAAGGCTTCCTGGAGGAAGCCACATTTAATCATTGACCTGGAGGAGTAGGAGTCAGGCAGTTGAGGAGGTGGGTGAGGGAAGTGAGTTCAGGCTGGGGCGCTGCATGGGCAAAGGTGTGGAGGCCTGACAGCAAGCCACTAATTTCTTCAGAGTCTCTATGCATGTGTGGACAGCAGGACCAATGCACTGCAATTTTTCCCAGCCCACATTTCCATCCGTCATCTGTTTGCTCTTTCCTCTGAACGTTCAAAAGACTCATCTACCTTTCTCCACTTTCGCAAAACACAGGGCCTTATCTGCAAGCCAATCTCAAACTGTCTGAGCCTGAGCACCGGCTAGCCGGGCCTCTGTAGTTTCAGAAAGCAACCTCTAGGACCGCAGAGCGTTGGAGGTTGGCTGAACCAGTGCCTCATAGGGGCCAGGAGTTCCCTTCTTAGGCCTGATATCTTGGAGATTGGAGGCCCCAAACGCTGCCACCCTCAGGCACTCCCCATCGCAGCCTGCACTCACCTTCCTGGTCCTTCCCCCGCAGATGAGCTGTGGGACCACAAGGCCCGGGCTTCAGTCCCATCTGGCCATTGGGTATCTGTTCTTCAACCTCTCTGGGCTTCTCTATCTTCACTTGGAGAATGGATAAAATGGGTTATATGGATTAAATTGTAAACTGCTTACGGTGGTGGCACATAGTGAAGTGCTCAGTAGGTGCTACTAGGACTTTTACTGTAGATGATGTGATTCTGGTGCTCTGATTTCTACTCTCTTCCTTCTGCTGGGGCATTCTTCTCTCCTACAGAAAGGACTGTCCAGTGTGGAAACAGATTTGTTTCTATACTCTGAGTTTCGTGATGCCTGCAGGGAAAGGGAAAGTTTCTAACAAAAATGGTTTGGGGGAAATCTATGTAGGAGAAAAGTATTCCAGCCTGGAACTCAGATTTAAAAAAAAAAAAAGATTTCTTGGGGGGTGGATTTAGGTAACTGGGGGACAGTAGAGCCTGCAGAGAGGTCCCCAAGAAAGGCCTGAGGTGGAGCATGGAGGAAACATACGGCAGGCTGTGGGGCTGAGCCCACTTTCCCCAAAGTGGCAGGACCCAGAGAACAAAGATTCTTGGGGTCTCAACAGTGGTGTAGGATATCCCCACACCACCCCCGAGGCTGCACGTGTGGGTAAGCCACTGAAGACGTCCCCATGTGTTCCAGAAGACAAGGAAGTGGTGGGTGAGAGCCCCCTGAGGCCTTGGGGTGCTGGAGGGAGAGAAGAGGAGATATGGACACCATGCAGGTGCAGTGGCCACACAGCAGGGTGTGGATATGATGTGAGGTCACGTGGTCACCCTGGTGTGGGTGAGTGTGAGGGAAGGGCGGAAACGAGGATGAGGAGGGGGCTGTGGCCAGAGCAGGAGGTGGTGATCAGCCAGGTGTAACATGCAGCAAAGATGTAAAGTGGGATGACAGGGAGTGGGTGGGCACTGGGGGACACACTGTCTCCGTGTCTTAAAGAAATGACTGATGCCTCTCAGAGTCCTCCTCTGGCATCTCCCATGTGCGTTGGGGCTCCTCTGTACACACATCCTGCCCAGGCTTCCACCATCCCAGCCCTGATGACTCAGCCCTGTGATGCATTTCAGGGCTGGGACAGGTCGTCATTGCTGTCCCAGTGCCTGGCACACAGGAGGTGCTCTGAATCTTGGAGTTATGGCTACACTGAGCAAATTTCTCCTCTCTCTAGCTCTCTCAGCCTGGCAGGCCTTTGGGCCCATGTCCCCCTGGGAGGGGGAAGAGAGGGCAGTCCTCTTTCTGTTGAGTCCCACTGCCACTGCTCCCTGCCCCCATTCTGGCACAGGTAGCCCCTCTCCTCCTCCTTGGGTTTGGGGATGTTGTCTGAATGGTCCATTTGCATAACCCCTGCCTGTAGCTAGCCTCCACTCCTGAGTGTGGGGCAGGCACTGCTTGGTCCCGGAAATGCCCTCTGCCCTCCCCGGAGCGTGTGACTTTCCATTTTCCTTGAACGCAGCACTTCATGACTTTGCCGTAAACTTCAGATGCAGCCCCCTTTCCTGTCTTCACAACAAGGAAATCAGTTGAGTTTCAGAGAAACCAGCTGCTAAGAGCACACCAGGCCTTCCGGCGTGGGTACCTGCTGGCTTGGGCCTCTGTGCGGCTGCTGGCATACCCAGGTAAGTTGCCACCCTCTGGCTCACTGCCCCTGTCCTGCCACCACAGCCACACCCTGGGGGAACTTGGGGCAGTGGGTGGAGGGTGAAGACTTCATGGGGCCTGGCCTACTTACACATTGCCTGGGCATGTGTGCAGGTGGTTAGCCACAGGGCCTCAGTCTGGGGGCTTGGGCGGCACGGACACCCAAGTTCATTTCTTGGGTCCCAATTCTTCATCTAGAACCAGCTTTTTGTTGGCGTTGGGGACCAGAGACCTGTGGCCCATTTGCCTTGATATCAACTGCACATCCTCAGGTACGTCATCCTAGGTGGAACGGCCCCTGGCCGCCGCCATTTCCATGGCTAGCCTGGGTCTGGTGGAGGAGGACAGAGTTAGGAGGCCCCTGAGAAGGGCCAGGAGGGGCTGTGGATCAGGAATGGGTGGTGTCCAGCTGGAAAAGGAAGCAGACACTGCTTGCAGCCACCCTAAGGGAAGCAAATTCCCTGCCAGAGTGTCAGCTGAGTGGTAGTTTCCAGGGGACGCAGAGATGCCTGCTCAGTCCTCGCTCCTGCTGGGCCCCATCAGGGTGACACCCTTGGGTCCAGGAAGCAGAGAATCTTCCAGAGAAAGCAAATATGTGTTCTGTCCTCTGCCCCCACCAGCCCCGTGAGCATGAAGGTGGCTTGTCAGGGCTTGAACTTGAACAACAAAATGCAGATGAGTCCTAGCAGGGGGCCCAGGACAGGCTTGAGCCACTTGTAAGGGAGCTCCGGTTAAAGGGGGACCCAGAGAGAGGAAGGAGAAAACAGTTTGAATCCTGCTCAACCGCTGTGTGTCCTTGGCAAGTTGCTTAGATTCTCTGAGCCTCAGTTTCTGCATCTGTTAAATGCAGATGCAAATACTGGCACCTTGCAGATGCCTGGTTCTTGACTCTTGGATGAGAGGTTGCAAAAAATGTCCCAAGCAGGAAAGAGTCTCTGCAGGAAGAAACAGGGCCCCTGTGGTGAAATGACCCAAGATGGGCTTCCTTACTCTTGTCTCAACAGGGTAGTGAGCACACGGTGGGTGCTTACTAAAGCTTTGCTGAGGGATCAGAGCCAGGGATGCCCGGGATAAAAAATGTTTGGGTGCCACCTCTGAAGCCTCTTCTCTTCCAGGGCTGTGCTTTTTTTCCCTTTTTACGTCTGTCCTCCTGTCTCCTGCACGCAGCCCTGGCAGGGATACAGGGCACGCAGGCAGCCTGGACGGTGGTTAAGTGTACACTCTGGAGCCAGGCGGCCTAGATTCCTAGATTCGAGTCCTGGCCCTGCCACCTTTGGTGTGTGCTGTGCAACCTTAGGCAAGTCACTGCACTTCTGTGTATGTCCAGTCCTGGATCCATAAATCCTTCACTCATGCACAGGGCTCTTGTGAGGATTAGGTAAACGAATATGGTTGACCCTTGAACAATAGGGGTTGAACATAGGGGTTAGGGGTGCCCAAACCCCATGCATTTGAACACCTGCATGTAACTTGACTCCCCCCTGCAAACTTAACTGCGAATGGCCTACTGTTGACCTGAAGCCTTCTGATAATATGGACGGTCTGATACATATTTTGTATGTTACAGTGTCGTGTACTATATTCTTACAATAAAGTAATCTAGACAAAATAAAATATCATGAAGAAAATCCTAAGAGAAAAGACATTTCCTGTATTGTAAAAAATCTGTGTGTCACTGGACCTGAGCAGTTCAAACCTGTGTTGTTCTGGGATCAACTGTATATCTAGAGTGCCTGGCACATAGTAGGTGCTATCTGAGCATGTTGCTATAATTCTAATGGTCACTACTAGCTCTGGGAGGTCAGGCTCTGGACTTTGTAGCTTCTGGAGATTCTCCTGGGGGCTGCAGTAGCCAGACTTCTCCATGCCGACCATACCCTGCCCCCAATCAAAGCATAGGGTCAAGGCTGTTGTTCTTAACTAGAGCCAATTTTAACACCCCTTGACTCCCTAGCAACATTTGATAATGTGTGGAGACATTTTTGGTCATGACTCAGGGGGTGTTGGCATCTAGTAGATAAAGGCCAGGAATGATGCTAATCACCCCAAAATGCACAGGACAGCACCCGGCTATCCCCACATTTCTATCAGGCCCTGTCTTCCCAACTCATCATCCCACCTTTCCCACCCCCTAAGCCTCTCCTCTTCTCCCTTTTACAGTCACAGAGACTGCCTTACACCCAGAGAGGGAAAACTCCTTGTTGAGGTCACATGGCCTTAAAACCAAGGCAGTAGAGCTTGGGGTCCACGGGGACTGCTCTCATGGTATTGTTGTCGATCAGCAGACACTTAGCAAGTCTGCTGGATGCGAGGACCTATTCCCAACCCCAGAACACCCAGCTGTGGGCCCTGACTGTTGAAGGAACCTCAAAATGCAGTGATGCCTGGGCCAGCCTGGGATAAGAGCCCCTCGGGATCCAACTTAGAGCAAGAGATTCCATCTCCTTTCTTTTTAAAAAAATTAAAAAAAATATTTTATTCATTCATGAGAGACACACAGAGAGAGGCAGAGACACAGGCAGAGGGAGAAATAGGCTCCCTGTGGGGAACCTGATGCGGGACTCGATCCCAGAACCCTGGGATCACGACCTGAGCCAAAGGCTGACAGTCAACCACTGAGCCACCCGGGCGTCCTGGGATTCTGTCTCCTAAAGGACATTTACCAGAGTGGTGAGTGCAGGCTTGCTGGGTCAGATACCTGCATTCAAATCCTGACTACCACTTGCAGGCCACATGATTTTGAACTTGACATTAACCTCTTTGAGCTTCGGTTGCTTTAGCTAAGGAATGGAGGTAACAGTTCCCATTTAATGGGACTCGAGGTGAGGTTTAGATCAAGTGGATAATGCTCATAGTAAAGTCCCTGGCACAGAGGCTGTTGTGGTTGCCAGTCTTATGTGCACATATTTGGAAGAAACAGGGGCTCCAGAAGAAAACAAGACAGCTGTAGGCTCTGCCTCAGGGACCTCAGCCTGGTCACATTGGTCATAAACGGCTATCAGGGCTGTGATATTGGAGGATGGGCCCTGGGACAAGAGAGGAGGTGCCTGACTCAGCTTGGGGAAGGTGGAGTAGGAATCATGGAATGCTTCTAGGAGGAGGGGACAACAGAGGGGACCTAAAGCATATTGGCAGGAGAAGGGGGTGGGCACCTATTATGTGCCTTGCTGGTATGGGTAGGGGAACAAAACAGAATTTCCCTCTCACAGTGCTTACATTCTAGCAGGGGTCAAAGGTCCTATGTCAACAAGTTGGTAGATAAATCCCATTTTTGGTGGTGAAGAGTAATAAAGCTGGGTCAGGGATAGAGAGAGAGGGGGAGATGATTTTAGAGAGGGAGATCAGAGAAGAACTCTTGGACGAGGTGGTGATATTTAGGCAGAGGCTTGAATAAAGTGAGGGATTTTGAGGGAAGAGTGTCCAGGCAGAGAGAACAGGCAGTGCAAAGGCCCTGAGGTTGGACCATGCCTGATTTGATCAAGTGAACTGAACAAGTGATATAAGGAGGCCCATGTGGCTGTTGGGGCATGAATGAGAATAAAGAGGTGATTGGGCAGATTGCATAAGGGCTTGGGAGCCACTGTGAGGACATGGGCTTTACCCCTGAGTGAGGTAGGAGTCCTGGAGGGCTGAGAGAAGAGAAGGACATGATAACACAATGGTGGTCCAGGTGCTGTGCTTGGTGCTCAATGAGCCTTATCCCATGGAATCCCTATAATCTGCTGGTGTCAAGCACCTTTGCTTGCATCATTTTCTAGGTGGGGTCTGGTGAGCTTAACTCACTGCTCAGTACTATGCCACCACTATACAGTAGACCCCTGATTCCATGGTTGAAATCTGATCCCCTGGTGTCAGGAAAAAGATATGAAGGAGCATATTGCCACCCATGGCACAATGCCAACTTCTGTCATTTGTGACTTAGAATAAAACCAAGGTGGCATTCTATTGGCTGAAATTACCTGTGTTGCTCCTACTGATGTGCAGAGGGGGCCCCATGATTGCGGACTGAAGAGCAGGAAATGTGGCTTTAGGGGGGACTTAGGGTCTCAGGCAGAAGACTGGGAGTCAGTGAGAAAAGGGATGGACAGAGAGGGACTGGGCCCCCATTCCAGCAGTGCCTTTGGTGGGGTCACTTCTGGCATCTGGCTGAGGGTAGCATATAGAGCCTCCAGGCCTGCTTGGTGAAGCTCCCACCCACTCCCACCAAGTCCAGTTGGATAGGCTCATTCCCTCTGCAGCCTTACTGCCTCAGTCTCCTCCCCCCACCTTCCCGGGCTCTCACAATGGATATCTAATTGGGGCTTTTGATGTTCAGAGTATGTTCTGTGGCATAGAAGACCCTCAAGGCTCTGCCACATGGGAGTGGGGATAAAACAAAGCTAAAATAGTCCTTCCATGCAGGTCTTCTCAGAGCCTTTATTTTTTTAAAGATTTTTATTTATTTGAGTGAGAGAAAGAGAGCATGAGTCAGTGGAAGGGGGGGAGGAAGGGGAGAAGTAGACTCCCTGATGAACAGGGAGCCTGACACCATCAATCTCAGGACCCTGAGATCAGGACCTGAGCTGAAGGCAGATGCTTAGCCGATTGAGCCGCCCAGGTGCCCCACACCTTTTTTATTTATTTATTTATTTATTTATTTATTTATTTATTTATTTATTTATTTAGTTATTTACTTACTTACTTACCTTTATTTATTTGGTTTATTTATTTATATTAGAGAGGTGGGGTGGTGAGTGAGGGGCAGAGGAAAGGGAGAGAAAGAATCTCAAGCAGACTCCCCACTGAGCACAGAGCCCCAGGCAGGGCTCCATCTCACAACCCTGAGATCAGGACCCGAGCTGAAATCAAGGGTCATTGCTTAAGGAACTGAGCCACCCAAGTGCCTCTCAGAGCCTTTAATATGCTAAAATGCTTTCCACAGCTTTTGAAAATGTGTTTGACCACTTGAGCTTTGTTTCCTTTGAAGTATGTTTCGCGTATCAGGTCTCTCTGGAATAGACACGACTGAACTCTGCTTTTGCCCAAGGAGGCTGCTTTAATGATGGAATTCCAGGTAGATCCTTCTGAGCAAGGACCACAGGTTTCCTCCTTCTCCTCCCAGGGTCTGGGCTGCGAAAACAAGGCTGACGTTCCTTTATCTCTCAGTGGGGCTGCAACTCTGAGATGGCCAAATTCTCTGAACTCACAGCTCATGAGGCGGCTGGATGAGGCTGGATGGGGTCAGTCCAGGCAGGGAATGGGAGCTTGCCTCCTGGGAAAGCCATGGAGTCTG